TTTGTCAAGTTTATAATTTAATCTGATCTTGGTGATGGTAACTAATATCATCAAAGTAATAGCATTTACAGTTTATTAAGAAGTATATTTTCATCTTAAAGGACAACAAACTTTTGAGAACATTTAAACATTAATGGTTAGTCACTAAAACATAGCATGTGTTTTTAATGAAGCATGTAGATACAATATATCAACACAGTATCTAAAGAACAAATGCATATATTCAGGTTCAATAAAAAGTTCTCACTATCCATTATTTCAGGATGCTCAATTCTGTCACTCTCATCTTTTCATAAAGAAATGGAAAATAGATTTCATGGGAGCTGTCACTTAGATCAACTGCATACCTTTTACTCTAATAGTAACTAATTTGACCACTTAAAATTTCAGGCACAGAAATTTCAATAGTATTCTATAGTGTATCTGGATGACATCAAATACTACTATTATTACAGCAACATATACACTAGCTATTTACAGATTCCAGTGGAAAAACATTAGTTCTTGTACCTCATTATTGTTAACATGTGATCTTACTTATTGAAATAATGCTACAATAGTTATAATATTAAGATTTTGTTCTTACAGTAAATGAGAGCTAGCTAAAAAATGCCAGTAACACTCACATGCAAGGCCTATATAACATTTGTAAACTTTATATTGATTAATGCCTTGTTATTATTAATAGAAGATTAATTTATAAGAGCTAGATTTTTGATAATTGTAAGATTTTATAAAAATCATTATTATATATGAAGGAATTTCAAATAATATGGTTATATTTAAAGGTAAATCACACCACAGGTAATAGGTTGACACTGATATCTTACAATAAAAGATATCAGTGTCAACCTATTATCTGTGGTATGATTGACCTTTAAATATAATCACATTGTTATTGTATATAAAGATAAACTTTAGGACAAAAAGCTTTACCATGTAATCATTTAAAATATTATGCAAACTATATAAAACAACAGCCCAGCTTTAAATCAATTTGAATAGTAAATTCACTAAAACCTCTCATATATTTAGGATATATGAGCCACTCACTTGCCAAACTATTAACTCCATAAAACAAAAAATATAAAAATTGATAATATAAATTATTTTTTAAAATTCTTTTTAAACTTTAAATTCAAATAAACATTGTAGAATGTATTTTTATATACAGTTACATTAAAGCATATCTTTACTGTAACAATATATAAAATTAGTTATGCGAAAAATGTAAAAACAATAATAATTATATTAAGGATTTACAAATCGAGTTAATAGATTTGGCCTGTAAACAGCTTATAGAGACTTAAGAGAAGGGATAAATTGGGAAGATGTTGGCCTAAGTTTTGGAAAATATTGGTTTAGGCTGAAATCCCACAGTATGATAAAGAAATTATGGACCCAGCTTTTTATTTTTGCATCAATCTAATCTTAATTTAATAAAGAATAATCTAAGTTTAAATTCTGAAATTAATGTTTCAGCTATCCTATAGTCATCTTCAGTTTGTTTTTTTTTCTATAAATGCTGATGAGCGCACCGGTTTAAGGAGCATATATGCAATGTAAACAAAGTGCACAATTCTACAGCACTATCCAGAGTAGCACAGACAGATGGCTCGATGTTGAATGGAATGAGGCTAGGACTGTTAAACTGGTGCACTCACCATCTTTAGCAACGACTTTAGAAAAGTTTGAAATATATAAATCTAGCCTTACTGGCAAATTACAAAGATGCCACACTATTACCATCAGCCTGGAAATATATGATCAAAAATAGCGCAGTAAAATCTAATATATAATGCACACACTGTCGATATAATTCTGTATATTGTGTTAGTATATTTTGTATTTTATTTTACTTATTTTAATTCATTCAATTTCACATATTTACACTGTTTGTTACATTTCTGGTATAGTTGATATTTGGAGAAAGTGTTCGAACATGTATAAATTTGAATTTCTAATTGTTCGAATATAGAATCACCATAAAAACGTTCCAGAGAATTGAAAATACCTGATGATGACCTGTTGATCAGATTGAAAACGTTTGTTAAAGCAATAAATATTGGTTTTCAGTGATATAAGAGGTTTGTGTGTATGTATGTGTGTGTCATAGTATTTAAGGAATCTGAGTGTATATTGAAGTGTAAAATGACACCACTGGCCAAATTTATATTCCAATAATTAAAAACATATTCCAGAACTGATTTTAGGTAAAAATTTGTAGTAAGCTGATTTCTTTATTCAAGACTCATACAGAAAGTGAAACAATCTTTGGGAATAACAGAATAATCAAAATCCCAAAGTGAACAATCTTTGGGAATATACAGAATTTCACTAAAACAAATATTTTTAGCCTTTAAGACTATATAAATAACCTATTAATGCAAGATCAGTATGCTGCAGGCTATATGGCAAAATTATACCTGTTACACATAAGCTTGACTTTTAACTGGATCAGCTACCATGGACAACATAGATATTCAGTTGTAAAAATTATTCACCTTTTATGACCTCCATAATTTAGTCAAAATTAATCTATCTTCTGAAAAGCTTAACTAGCTGAAATATAAAGCTTAAGGTACTAAAGAGAGAATTTTTTTTAACTTATTCATTTATAAAGAACCAAAAACAAAGTTATTTATAGTATCTATCATTTGCAAGAATGTATGTAAAATTTGACATCATAAGTAGAAATGAAACATACAAGAAACTTTGAAATAAATATAATAAAATGCATAAACCATATAAAATTTAATAAAATAAACAGATGCCCACTGAAGCTCTATCTCCTCCAACTTTGTTGGACTTGTCATAACCACCTTCCCCTTCGAGTGTAATCATAACTTAGACAGCCCGTAATTGATTAAGTCATAAATTTGTGAATCTTAATTTTAATTTCAAATTCTCAAATTATCCTAGAAAATGTTATTCTTCAAAAAATTACAAAAAGATAAAAGAAAACAGTTTTTTTGAATGGTTCAAAAGTAAAAAATTTAAATATAGAATATTCAGTAAATTAAGCCTTATAACAATTTATTTTACATACCTGCAGGGTTTTTTTTATTTGTATATTTACAATCGTATAGTGTAGGAGTATAATTTGAATTTTAAGAAAATCTAATATCCTAATTTAATTTAAAGACTAAACTCCTAAGTTTAGAGAATTGTTATCATTAAATTGATTAAAAACTAGCTTTCCCCCTTAAATATTTGAATGTACAAGATTCTAGGTTTTACTGACTCCAATAGTGCTTGAAGTTGAAAATATATACTTCATTGCTCATCAAAGCTGGCTGTGATATGATTTAAATTTACATATAACAGCCACTTTGTGAGTAATGTTGCATACAATATTTTCTTTGTTATTGAGGAAAAAGAACACACAACACTACTTATTAAATACATTTAAAATAGTTTAAATATATATTATAGTAGTAAAATTTTATAAATTAGCTTTTTAAAATTATATATCTGGTATAAAACATCCATATACTTTTCATTATTAATATATGTCACAACACATTTAGTTTTAACAACAGAGTGCACTTTGTGTAGCATTAAACTTCATTTTTTATTAAGATAATTTTTAAAAAATAAAAAACTGCATTGAGTTTTAAAAAAGTGAGAATTAAATGCTAATTTTCTTCATATGTGCCAGAAATGATAAATTTATTTTTAAAAACCTCACATACAAGGTTTGAACTCAAAAAGAAAGCCTCCTCATGAGATGCCTAAACTAATCATGCCATGCTATGACTTTAAAAAATCAGTGTTCTGTATTAGAATTTAATGGTTGTAGAAAACTTGTAATTTTCTTGAGAATGTCTGAATAGTGGGTCACACAGCTTTGGCAGAATTTAAATATAAATAAATAAATAAATAAATAAATAAATAAGACATGACCACAAAAATTTCATCACAATCAGTGATTACAAATTGCTGGGATCCCCTTGTTAGTTTAATAAGGTTTATTTTCATATAAAATAGTTTTTTATTCAAATCAAATAACATTGTGGTTTTATCCTTTATGATGATGATGTTTAAATATGCAATATTATACACCACAAAATATTTAAATATGTAAAATGACTAAGGAAGAGAGGTTTTAGAAAAAAATCTACTGAATTAAAGATTGAATATTTTATAAGGAGATCATTATCAAATCAATTATAAAATTAATTTTTAATAAAGTAAATTTATGAAAATACTTTTCTGCATTTTTAACCTTCCTATATTTTTAGAAAAAGATTTCTAGAATTAAGAACACTAAAAAAATTTTTTTGAAGTAACAAAATGTCAAAATGAATAAAAGTATTTTTTTATTTTTAACAAAAGGTGTTAAATAATGAAGTTAAAACAAATCAAATGACACACTATCTACCTTAAAAAAGATTATACACAGTTTTAAAAACACTAAAAGGAAGCTTCTTACAGATTGAACTAAAAATATGAGAAAGTGCTGATTTCCTGACATCTCAGTACTCGTCAAGATGGCTGTGATATGATTAAATAAAAACAGACCACAGTCAAATTGACGGCCAAGAGATGCATACAAATTTTCTGTACTCTGCATGCTTGAATATTAAAATATAAATCAAAGCTATTTTGATACTTTGTAATTGTAGAAATAAGATCTTGTCCAGCTCATCAAAGGTGGCTGTGATATGTTCTTTTAAAATTACACATTTCACAGTCTCTTTGATGGCTATACCAGACCCATGAAATAAAATTCAAAAGAAAAGAAAAAAAAAACTATTTAAATAAAATTATAAAATAAAAATTAAAAAACATACAAATTCCAAAAGCAGCAGATAACATTTGCACATTTAGCAAATTTAAGATGCAAAAATGTATTATTTCCGTCAAAGACAAGGTAGTGAGATGATTTTAAAAATCACATCTCACTACCCATGTCTTTCACAGAACTAATACCAGTTATATCATTCCAAGGAATTTACACTATGTAAACTTCAAAATTTATTAGTGTGTTAACTTACAGCCACTGCTTCACTTCTTAATTCTTCCATGTTTTGTACTTCTGTTAACTGTGCAATTAACGGGCATATCCATTCATTCAGCTTCTCTAAAAAGTGAGAATATAGGTATTTTAATATATATAAAAAAAATATTACAGATAAAACAAAAATAGAATTAAATGCAAAAATTTTTTAAAGTTTAATTTAGATTAGTTATTTATACTGTCAAAAACAAAATTGATTTGAACAAGTTTTGAAATTTCTATACACATGCACATGTAAACAAATGGATTTGAACCATGCTTAGAGCTACTTTTACTCAATTTGTCACAGCTAAATAAAAAGTAGTTAAAATTAGAACAGTAGTACTTCAATGGAGCCAACCATATGAGTGAGTTTAGTAGCTGTAAGGAAAAAAAAGCAAGAAACATGTTTCATTCTAGTTGCTGTCACTTCCGACTAGACTTTCACAACCAATGGAACACACTATGTTATACATATCCAAATAAATGGACAATTTTTGTTTACAACTTCTACATGCACTTTATATTCCTCCTCAAATGAGGTGTTCACTTGTCACAATCACATGATCTAGGAAAAACATTTTTTTCTCATTTCTTAATTCTGTTAATCCTCATTTCTTAAAATTTGATACATTTTATGAAACTACCCCTTTAGTAGCTGCCAGCCTATGAATGAACAAACCCCCAATATCGTCTTTGAATTCTTTTCAGGAAGCTGTACAAAAAATGAAATACATGCATGCTCCATAAAATCCATTTACATACCAAAAAGTCTCTGGTATTTCTTAGTTGCAGCTGAAATTTGTAGCTCATGTGGTTATATATGCAATTAATCATAACAATTAGCAACTAGTGTGATTTTTTAGTGATAAGTTTCTCATGTGAATGTGCACTCACACTTCTTGAGCCAGAAACACTAAACTCAAAGTCTAAACTATCATTTAAAATAAAGAAATAGAGCTTCCTTCACTTATGTACTTGGGCTCCCAAATACTTCTGCATGACCTAATCTATGCTAATATATAAAGCAAGAATGTTTGTTTACTAAGCAGTAGAGGTATTCTCAGAATCTGCTAAACCAATATTTTTTTAAAATTGTTTTGTTATTGGAAAGCTTATTCCTTTCAGGTGAACATAGAAAATACACAAGAATGCTATTTTTACCACAGAATTTGTATTGATTTATCATTTGTCCTCTCTGTTCAAAGTCCATCCCCTTTGCCATCCAATGAGCTCTTTTAAACTTATTATCTTATATTTTCACTTTTTACTCATGCAGTTCAGGTAGTTGTGTATATGCTTTGTTTATATTGTCTTTGTCATTTATTTATTATAATAATACTCATGTTACCAGATACAACCATAATAAGCAAATTTACTTCCCTTATATGAAATTAAATTTGTGTTCATTGTTTTAGTATTAATCCCACTATACAATTATTTAAGAATAAGAATTAGTCTTATGTTATCAGATATCTATTTACCTACATACATTGAATTCTTTCAGTTACTTTTCAGGTGTATACATGTGCGAGTCATATTGATGATAAAATGTCTAAAAGAAAATTACAATTATCATGAAATACATAATATATATATTTTTTTTGTCAACTTGGACATTAATTATTAATAGGACAATTATAGTTTTTAAGTTTTTACGCAAGAATTGAGGAAAAAATTCTTAAAGAAAACAGACTTTCTTTATTGAGCTACCTGACTTATACTTACAGGTAAGCTTAAAGTTGGTAGTCTTATTTATTCTTTTTTACAAGTTCTTAAGTACCAGACTGCTATCTTGATTCTTTCTATTTCTTTTGACAGTTTCTCACCTTGCATATTCTTAGTCACCAGAAATCATCATGAAATACATTCATGTCAAGGAATCATTTAAAAGCTTATTACTTTCCAATGTACAGTACAGTACATAAGCTACCTTAAAACCCTGACACACTCATTCTTTCCTGCTGATTTCATCCCTATACCCCCAATCTTCCAAACCTTTTGAACAATCTGAACAAATTTTGCATTAGTTAGTATCTACAAAATACACACTACTTTAAATCTCAGACACTCACTCCTTTCTCCTGATTTCATCCTCCACACGTTGCACCAGATTTTGCATACCTTTGCCACCCTACAGGAAACATACACTACCCACTACCCAATGAGAACTTGATTCCCTTCCTTAGTTTCCAATGAGAATTTTTTGCTAATATTTATTATAGTAATTTTAGTATAAAAAAATTTTGACCAAAAAAACAAATAAATTAACTTTATTGGGGACCTTTTATCTGAGACATTTGACTGATACTTATCCAGGTCTATTATTAAACAAGTGTTGTGTTGTGTGTGTGTGCGCGCGCACACGCACGCGCTTGCATATACAGTTTGTTCAGTGATTTCATTATATAATTTTATAATGATTCAATTCAAATAAAAATTCAAATTATCAAAAAACAAACCAAAAAATTTTGCTTTACAATTTTGCTTTACTAAAAAAATAGTATTCTACAGAATTGAGTAAGTTAAAATTAATAACAATTAAATATAAAGTTAATTTTTAGCTGAATACCAAATAATTAAAACATTTTTAAAAAACAGTTGTCTATATGTAAATATATAAGAATATTGCATACAAGAAGTTTGTTGAATCTTTGATAAATTTGGAACATATATTACAAAATAGTTAATTATATAATAGTTACAAAATTCCATTAAACACAGTATTTTAAAACTTCCAAACTATTTTAAACTATTTAGTTTAATTTAATGTAAATGACATCATATGCATGGAAAAAATAAGCAAGTGTGATGTAAAATGTATAAAATAATTTAACATCATTACAGAGAACTACTAAAACATTGTCAAAGCTTTTAGAAAATAGAAAAACAAACACAAAAATGGAAAAATCAAATCTAGACCAATCAGATTTAAGTTTAATAACTGAATTTTAAGAAATTAGGTAGTTAACAAAAAAAGGTATTTAGGTCAATTTATTAAAAAAATCAAATTATAATTAGTTTAAGAAAAACAGTAACTATTATATTTAAAATGTTTTTACAATTAAAGTTTTTGAAATTGTATTCCTAAAGTACATGCCTTAAACAGAGATATAATTATCAATATTTTCACATAAAATATGAATAAGTGCCTTATAAAATAATTTTTGCTTTATTAATTCAAAATATTGAAAAATTTATGCCAAGTAAAAATGCTTGCAAATCTTATTTTATTCTTAAAAATTAGCTTTTTAAATTAAGTTTTTAAAACCCTGAAAGTAATGAAAATAAAAAATAAATGTCATTTCATTTAAAAATGTGATAAATTCTGATTATGTTCTTAATAAATTTACACCTTCAAATTATAACCTGCATTTCTTAATTCTCTTAAAAAACGCAAGTTATTTTAATTTGCTGCTATTGTAAGTAGTTTTTCATTTCACTGTAGTAATTAAAGAGTAATAAAAACATATAAAAGTATCAAGTATCTCTCTCTGATATAACTTATTGCCAAGTTAATAGTTAAACTAGTTTTACTTCTTAATATCAGAAAAATCTTAACCAGTTAAATTTCAGCTCAAAATTGCAACTAACAGTTTAATAAAATAAATTGAACCCTGTTTTAGCCAGATAAAAATGCACAAGAGTTTTCTGAAGAACAAGTAAATTGATTAGTAATTCTGTTATAGCAAAAAATTTGTAATTATTATTTCCAAAATTACTCTGAAAACTAAACTTATGTTTAGTTTTCAGAGTAATTTAACTAAACTTATGTTTAATGTTTAAAAAACTAAACTTATGTTTAGTTTTCAAAGTAATCTGCACTAATTTTGGAAATAATAATAATAATAGTAATATTTATGCACCTAATTTTATTATTACTATTATTATTATTATTATTATTAACTAAAATTCCATAGTTAAAAAGTTATACTTGAAAGACTTAAGCTATAAGAGTTGTGAAATCAGAAATCATTAATAATCTGCACTAATTTAAAAATCTAATAAGAAAAAAGTTTAAAAATTTATTTACAGGCTAACTATAGTTTTAAAAATAAATATTTTGTAAACTTTGTTAAATATCCAAATGATTGAATTAAAATTTAAACACATATTTCTGTAAGTTTATCATTCACATACTCTTTAAATATAAATTTTATATATCAATGTAACACTAAACAAAATTAAAAAAACAGTCATCTTTTCATTGGTGGGAGCATGTTACCAACCATAGTGAAATTCCACTAAATAAACAAAATTTGTTTAATGTATAGAGGCATAGAAATGATGCTAGTCTGAACTTTTGTAAAAAGGTATGCAAATTCATATAGGTATTTATGTACCATTAGTGACTATTTTTACTTAAATTTTAATTTAAAAAGTATTGGCTATTCAGTGGCTACTCTTGAATTAATGTCTTTGCATCATGGTGTTTTGCAGTTGCACTTAACAAGAATATAACCCTTTTTCCAAACATATGGATTTGAGGCTATCCTCAGGTGTCATCAATGAAGAACAATAACTTATTTGATCCTAGGTGAAGTTTTATATAAATCTAATTCTTACATCTATATTTTGTTTTCGAATAACAGAAGTTTTATGGAATATTAAGTTATTGAGGGTCAAGTTTCTGGAACTCTATTGTACACACAAACAAATTTCCAGCACTGAATGAATATGTACATATGGTGCATTAGTTTCATTAAAATGTTTACAGCACACAACACAGGAAAAAATCCAATAGGATCAAGTCCAGAGAACATGGTGGCCATGGAACAGGACTTTTCCTATCTATCAGTTGTCAAACTGCTCTGTAAGCCATTAATGCATATCTGCCTGAACATCAAGCATTCATCTATCATTATATGTAGGATATACAGTTTCAAACATATATTGTGGAGCATGCTGTGCTCAGTAATGCACATTACATTTTACACCTCCCATTCTGAGAGAAAGTGCTTTGTCAGTATATAAAATATGCTCAAGCAGGACAAACAACAACAAGACATTGAATTTATGCCAGGACAAATATGCTGCATCAGCTAAATTTGCTCTCTAACATCCTGTGTTGTGCCAGTTGCAGGTTGCAGTTGAATGAGTATGTAATGATGACATAAAAAGAACACCATACAAACATTATGAGAAATAGGCATTGGTAGATTTGGCTAAATCTTTGATATTTTGTAGTCCTAGTGCACCTGATAAAAGTTCCATTATAAAAAGTCAAAAAAGGGACAAAGTTATCAAGTGGGGGAAAAAAGCATATTAGGCTTCATAACATGTCATAATATGTCAATTATGTTTTTCATTTCAGAATGTAAAATAATGTCCCAGCAGAGTTCCTTTTCAATTGTTATGAAATCTTAGTAGTGCGAGTCTCTTCCTAAACCTAAAAGGGGCACCCATGTTCCACAGAGCAGCACTATCTACTACCATGGTATTAACCAAACAATCTGACAGATTTTTGTCATGCTAAATTAGTCATACTTTAATAACTTCGAAAGTTAATAAATTTAAAACTTTGTAATTATTACATTTATTAAGAAATGGCAGCTTAATTACTATGTACTTTAAGCCAAATTGCTTTGTTTCTGATCATTAAAGTAGCCATAATTTATTCTGATAAAAATCTAGCAGATTATTTGAAAATTCCAATAGATTGGGTTGGTTGTTATTTATATATAGTATTAAGCCAAATAGCATGAGAATTAAACACTTGTGTATTGCATAATAAACAAGTATCTTCACAGGGAAATTCAGATAACATGCCAAACATCAACATTTCAACACACTATTTATATTTTGAAACAAAGTTATAGGTCTTCACAATCAAACTACATACAACCTTAATTTAAGACCAGTTAAGAACTTTAAATAATGTTCAAGACAAATATTTTCAATCCACACCTAAGTATTGCTTCAGGTCTGTTTTGATTTTTCATTCTATATTGGAATATCCAAATGAACGATGACAAATAACAAATTTAAGAATTCATTTGGAAATTTGAACTGTCTGAGAAAGGTACTGTACATTTCATGCAAATTATTCAATAACTTTAGATGCAGGCATAAAATGATACAAATCATACAGTTATTGTCTTAAGGTTGTATGTAGTGTTTAATTTATTTAATGTCCCATTTTAAAAGTTTTTGAAAGGCTTCACAATCCATGAATGTACATGCAAATTATGCTGTTCCTGCATCTTGGATGCTTGATAATAAAAAAAAAAAAAAAACAATTTTTGAGCTGTCTATTGAGATCATCAGAACTGCTAAAATTGCAAAAAATATCAAAAGATTTAGGCAAATCCACTGAAATCCATTTCCAATAAGATTAGTGCAAAGTTCTTTGATGTATTTGTGAATGCTGCAATCCACATTACGTCAATGCCTCACATATGCTCTGTACAGTATATAGACATGTATGGAGATACACCAAAACTAACTTTATAACAAGGCTGGCCTGGATCATAAACCCTTATAATACTACAGGTTTACACAGCCCCCTTTTAAATGAAGTAATTTATTTTACTGCATCACAGTGAAATTAATGTTTCCACCATGTGCATTCTTTTACATCTGGATAAATTATATGTATGTATATTTGACTTATAAAAAGAATTAAGAAACAAAATTATAATCGAATATGAAATTTTAAATATTTGCAAAAACTTAATAGATCCAGCTGAAATACAGATATTATAGATAGCTAGATTGCTCCTTATCTTAAAATAAAGTTAAGTTATCTTTCAGTTTTCTGCCAATGACTTCAATTTAACAAAATACATAATCATTTATTTGCAATACAGTATACAATAGAAAAATCATTCAAATAAATTCACTTTAAAGTTTTCAGATGAGAAATTTAAATTATTAAATTAAGCATTAAAATACTTAATACAAAATACCAAAATGTCTCAATAAATATTAAATTTAAAAATCTTAAATCATGTTAGGAAATCTGAATTTCTAATAACAGAATTTTAAAAAGTTCAGGATAGATTGAAATTTGGTTGTGGAGAACAAACAAATGGGAAATATCTAGATTAACAAAATTTGAAATTATGAACATATGATTTTTTTTTTTACATTTACATTTCAGGTAAATGTAAATAAAACAATTTTAATCTGTGTGACTGATTTGCAGTAATCTTAAATACCAGTTTAATAAGTCCTATTAATAGAAATACACACTGTACTGGTGAATAAAATAATATTTGAATAAATTGAGGACATTGAGGCATATCAATTTAATTTAATATGCATTTTTTAATTGTTATCTTTATAGTATTTATTTTATTCAGTAATAAAAAAAAAACTTTTAACTTAATTTTACTATAATAATTTATCCTTCTATTTAGTACCTTGATTTATCAAGCCTTGCTCTAAAATCATCAATAATGAAGTCTGGCTTGCTTTTCGAACCTAGGAGAACAAAAACAACATTCATTAAGATAGATCTTTAAAAAATTTATTTATTCTAGATGAATATTTAACTAGAATTATAGCTATTCAAAACATATAAGCAAAAAATGTTATAAAATCATCATTATCAAATTTATTTACATTAAAATTCCATATAAAAATGTTCTTTATAAATAGAAATTTTTGATAATGTACTAATCAGAAAATACAAAAATTCAGTGGATAGCTTTCAAAAGTTTTTCATTATTCATGAATACAGTACATATAAAAACTAACCAAATTTTTCTCCAGTAATTAAAATATATAAGTAGTTACTATTTACATTCTTTTATTTAGCCACACTGAATCAATATCTTATTCACATTAGTAAATAGATGAGAACTACTAAGCATCAAAATGAATTTGTTATAAAATATGTTCACACACTTAAAACTTCCAGCAATTGAACAGCTTTAATAGCACAGCTAATATTTTCATTCATTTTAAAAATTGACCACTAAAAGTACAACCTAGATAATCATATATTGAATGTATCAGAAAGAATGCAATTTTATAAATTTCTTACATCTGAAATTGTAAAAACGTTTTTTCTTATATATATCGTATATAACAGGGGTGGCCAACCTGCGGCTCGTGAGCCACATGCGGCTCTTTGAACGATTATTTGTGGCTCTCAATAGATGTACCAGAGTTCCCTTTTCATTTTTGTGTTATTATATTTTAAAAAATTATTATCGTTCCATATGTGTTTCAAAATGTCTTTTAAATTACTAACAGCAAATATGAAAGACTAAGTGCAACGTTGTAACAAATTTCATTTCCGTCCAAGTTAAGAATGATATGACTCGTCGAAAACTGCGCAAATGAACATAAACAGTGGCGTAATCGTCCGACTCCAGACCGATTTTGAATTTGTAAACTGTCATTGCAACAGACAGTTGACATTGTGCTCTGGAGGAAACAATTTGTATCACTCTTGCTACGGATATAATTTGTATTCTGGAGTTTTTTGCATACCTTTTTAATACGTATTTAATTGCGGCTCGCAAAAAATTTCAAATTTTGAAAAATGGCTCGGACTATCAAGGAGCTTGGCCACCCTGGTTATATAACATTCTATATAAGATTTTCTATTTTGTAGGTTTAGTTTGATTGTTTTTAGTTATTTTAAATGACCTTCTATAAGCTATTAAAGTTGTTTATTGCTGGAAACTTCAGGTGGACAAATATATTTAGTAGAAAAACCAATCAATCATAACTAATAAATTTAAACATGGATTGTAAGTCTGATTATATATAATCCTATTTTTAAATAAACAGTTTTTATAATATAATTTATTAGTGCATTAGTATTAGAATTCTAAAATAAGCACTCTTAATTACTTAAATATAATGATTGTGATAAAAAACAAAGCAAATACATGTGAAAATTAAGTTTTATTCTTTCAAAATTTAGTCAAATCATCTAAGATTTAATATAACAAAAATTTAAAATGGAATATAAAAACAGTTTAGTTGTTTGAATATATATTTTTATAAGGTAAAATTATCCAGTGGTTTTAATTATAAAGAATATTTCAATGAACAGTAGTAATTAATATGCATATTTTTCTAGTATATAATTGCTAATGTTCATAGAAAATCCTGTTTTTCAAAGAAACAGAAAAAAACATTGTTAGAAAAAAGTACAAGTGAAACTACTTTCAAATAGCTTTCAGAATAAATATAGTCATCACAAAAGTATGGCATGGCAAAAATTAACATTGTACAACTGAATCTGTACGTGTAATAATTTTGTTTCTTGTCTTTTCAATGGACTTGCCATATACTGATGTAGTATGCAACCAATTGTCTACTTCTGTTAAAACTCCAGTCACATGAAAGAATGAAGATTCATTTTAAAAGGTTAGTTCACACTGACAGCAAATAGTAAAAGTAAATGAAAAATGGGAAAGTGATTTTATTCACTTAACAAAATTGGTTTACATTACAAAACATAAAAAGCAAAAATTCAGTAGTTTGGACTAGCAGAGCACTTTTTCAAACAAGAAAATTTGTTGAAACTGGCATAGCATGTGACATGTTTACTGCTTTTTTCATTTACTGGCAATTCACTGACAACATGGACTAACATGAAATAAATATGTCAATTTGCTTTTTCACTTTTTTTAATAATCACTTTGCATTTTCCAATTCAAAGTGAACAATAAATAAATGAGGAAAAAGTGCTGTAGAAAAATAACATGTAAGCACAAAATCATAAAAGAAAAACATGCAACTAAAGTGCTGTATAATGAAGAAAGTACCATGGTACAGAAAATATTAAACATATAACAGCAAAAACCAAACAACTGAGAAACAAAATGTGTTTTGGTTATAATATGAAATAAAATTGTTATGCAAGAGTTTAGAAAAGCAGGAAAATATCTCTATTAAATTATTTTCTGTAATAATTATATAAAGAAGTTTAGATAGATTTTTAAAGATTTAAGTTTCTATTGTTAGGATCAAGAAGTGATCTTACAAAATTTTTTTGTTGATTTAATTCAAGATTTAAACTTAAAAACTTAATATGTGGAATGCTGAATACAAATGGGGATCACACATGAAAGAAATGATTATAATCGGAAGTTCAATTTTAATGTTCAACAGAATAAACACTTTGGAGAGAGGGTTCAAATCAAACAATGGAGAGTTGCATTACCAAGTTTTGAGAAAGAAGAAAAATATTTTCTCCTCTGATTAAAGAAATTTTGTAATCCTAGTGTGATGGGCAAACAACAAATAGTGTTTAACCATAGTGTGTGAAAACCAAAGGTTTGAATTCAACATGAAACTTAGTTCTGATCTCTAACTATACTACACTAACAGTGTCTTGTATATGTACTTCAAAGCTATAAATATACAAAACAGACAATAAACTATAATCATTTTGGAAACTATATGGGACTAAAACATTTGTCTTGTGCTTTTCATCACATCAGTGGATGAATGTTTTATTTTCTTTATTTTGACTGTATGACATACAGAAACACATTTATCATCTATAATATTTAAAAACTTCAAAATTTCTTTAATTATTGGTCAGTGATAAAAGAGTAAAACTGTGTAACAATTCTGATTTAATGAAAAAATAGTGATTGAATTCTTCAAACAGATTACAGTCATTATTACAAAATTACTATTTTGATGAAAATGTAATAATAAAAAGTTTATACACTATGTTTTATTACTATTATTTTCATCCTCAAAACAAAAGTTTTAAAATAAAATCCATATATTACAAAATGTTAAAATATAAACCAATAGTTCTTATCATTTTAGGTTAAGAATTTAGTTAAATTTTTTTTATATGGCACTACTTGTAATGTAAATAAAAGAGTAAAAGTAGGTTCTCAAAGTATTCAAAAAGACCTATTTATTGTTAAATTTTTCAAATAAAATTTATCTATTGACTGAAGTTATGAAAAGGCAAAAACAATTTTTAGCCAAACAGCTTTTAGGTGCGTTGTAATTCTCACACTTTCATTGAAATAATTAATGCTATTAAACAAATAATTTAGATTTCTATAAAAATATGAGTTTTTTTTAATGTAAGAACTTTCTCCATGAAGGTCAGGTTTATATCAAATAAAATCTTAAAAAAATTAACTTTCTTTTAAATAAATATTTTAAATAAAAAAAAGGGTCAAAATCTCTTAAAATTCTTTTTTTTAAATGCTTGCTTTTAAGGAGTATAAGCAGAACTCTGCTTAAGTCAGGAAATATTTTGTTTATGATCAAAATTTAAAGCAATGCATGACCACTAAACATGATTTTTTTGCAAATATATACAACTCAGTAAGGCCAATGTTGTGACACAGCCAGAATTTTGAAACTTATGGGCTGAGATTTTCAAGGTCAAAGTTTGCCAAAGTCTATGGGCCAATTGCAAGCTTGTGACAAACTACATGTCAATCAAGTTTCCAATTGCTGTCAATTTACACTGATTTCCAGAACAAGTTTTTATTTTAGATTAAAAATTAGTTTTAAATCCTTTTTTCCAGGTTTTTCCCTCTTTCAGGCATTTGGCAGTTGCATGAGGGTATGTGTTTTAAATGTTTCTTCATGTATTGTCAGTTATGATATTGAGCATGTTTGTCCTCCCTCAAATCTATGGGTTTTGAACTGCTTCGGACAGAATGTTAAAAGCATGTCACCATGTTTTCATGTAAGGCTGAAACAGAAAAACTTGTGCCATAGAGCTCAGTTTCATTTTGCTAGAAAGCACTTACTGCTAGTATTATATGTCCACTAATTAAAAAAAAATCAATCAATCATTGAATCAGTTTTTACTTTTAATTATTACTTTACTAAAAAGAATCTAACCTTAAAAAATCTTTAAACAATGAGGATAATCATAATCTTATGGAAGTTAATTATTTTCAATTATATAATTTTAAGAAAATTAAAATGTTTTCTGGATGTTTTAAACTCAAAAAAGGTATTAATTTTTAATTGAGAATACAGTTTAATTTATAGTACTTAATTTATGAAACAATAAGATTAAACAAATAAGAATTTCATTCTAAAAATAAAATATGACCTTTATTATTGCTGATTTTTCCCTTATTTTTACTTTAACAAAAACAAATTACATGACTTAGTTAATTAGATTTCAATTTTTGACATCGGAATAAAATTAATTTTCAAACTGTTATAAAAATTACTTTAATTTTACAATTAAACTCATCAAAATTTTATCTAAAACAAGATTTAAGTATTAAAAAAACTTATATATTTAACTATAAATAAAAATTTTCTCTCTTAAATGAAATATCATTTCTTACATTCTCTTAAATAAGATCCATTCCTACTTGATATGGAAATTTACAAAAAGGAGCTATATCTTTTTATCGTTTAAAGAGCTCACAAAAGATTAAGTTGAATCTTTTATTAAAGAAATTTTAGATTTTGAATATATTCTAAAAGAACTTAAACTTTTCTATAAGCATTTTTACTCATGCCAAATCTTTTTAAAAATTAGAAAATTTTTATTTGCATCAACAACAGATGATAATCAATGATTCTTTTAAAAACAACTTAATTTTAACTAATAAAGTTATATTACACAGATGAAATAAGATTATATATAATCATAATATATATTATTTACATAAAAATAGAACCAATTTTAAAACTCAAATTGTCACCTGATTATTGACATCAGTCAAACAGTTTACAATTACAGGAACAATTTGCTGATCTATTACTGAGCCTAGGTAATGGCAGTGTTCATGGCAAAATGCAGCAATGTGTGGAAGATGTTCAATAAGATCTGCTCTGACAGTAGGATCTGAAATTTAAAATTATTAAATACTTAATTTCATAATCTAATTTCATAAAGATTCAAAGATTATATTAATCTCATTTATTTTTAGGTAGTTAATAATGCTTAAGATTAATTTTGTATGAATATTAAAATATTTTATGAAGTGTGATATACACATTTTATATATTAATTTCATTCTGATACATAAAGTTTGCATGTTCAAAATAATATAAACTGCAACACAATGTTACTTCCAAAAGATTTTTAAATTTCTCAATATCTGTCTGAAAAGCTATTATATGAATATCTAATATTGTTTTCATTTAAAAAAAATTTAATGAGGAAAAAATTCTTCTTCAAAATAATTATATATAATGAAATGACATGGGATACGTTTAAGAAAAAAATCTTCCTACATTTTCCGCCCACAAAAAGAATTTTATTGTTTAGTTTTAAATTAAAAATATTTTTTTCAGAATCAAAACAATATTAAATGTAATGAAATTAATATCAACTACATTAACAAAACTATCAAATTTCTAGTTTCTTTCTCTGATCATCTAAAGCAGGAGTCACCAAACTTTTTTCACAACAGGTCACATAACTGACAGAATAATGAGCATGGGCCGCATAACCATTTTGTTCAATTCAATACACTGAATACACAAAAAATATAGACAACCAACATATTTATTTACCAATACAAACAGGATCGCTGCAGCAAGCTCATAATCACTTTCCTTAGAAACTTCATTGCAGGTACTTACATGAAAAGCAATGTTGTAAAAGTTGCCAATATCCAATGTTTCAGAAAGTTGCCAAATTGTTTATTTTACTGATTTTCCTGAAAATTATATTAATGACAGATGCAAAAATCAGATTGGACCAATTTTGGCAATTTTACTTACTATGTAGAAAAAATTAAAATAAGTGTAAGTTTATCTACAATTTATGATATTTCTATATAAACAATTACCTTTTAGCTCATTTGTGGTACAGTAAGGCAGCAGGATAAACTGACCTCGCAGGCCAGATCCAGCCCACAGGCCATAGTTTGGTGACCCCTGCTCTAAAGCTACATTTACAAGCAACTCTTATCAGAACATTATTGGTATGAGAACTGTTATGAGAAATAATGAATAGAACATTCTTATAAGCAGAGTCATCAAGAGGAAGAGTTGAGGATTTTCTCTGGGTCCAGAGATAAATTAGGAGGCCTGAAGTGATTCCAAATCCTATGAAATTAACAATTTTCATGAACAGAAAACAAAATCTTTAAGATTGTATTAACAAAAAGCATTCTACATATTTCATTTGTAAAATAAATAAAAAAAGGACCCATTAAGAGACAGAGGAGCCTACTATTCCTGGCCCCATACAAGCTCTTGACAGCTCTTCTTATATAAATTTACTCCATTTGTAAATGCTGCTTAACAGAATAAAATCAGATTCTTTCAAAAAAGCTAAACTTGTTATTAAGATGAACTTGTTATTATATTTCAAAGCAAAAAGTAAATTCATACTATTAACAAAATTTTATATATATATATAAATTAATTCTATAACATTTATAATGAATGATTAATGCACTACAATTTTCACAGTGTACTGTAATCTGTTTAACATCTCAATTTGAAATTTTATAAAGATTTGCAACTAGACAGCATTACAGTAACAAAAAATTTTAAGAGTTTTACCTAGAAAATACATCTGGTTTAATAATGTATTGATTTTTTAATATTACAAAAAACTCTTAAATATTAATTAAGTTTTAATGTTTCGAGTATACTAAAATTTATGAATTTATTCAAATCTCAAGAAGAATAAAAATCTTAATCTAGATATTTTTATAAACCTCTATTTTCTAACATTATTTAGTATATCACTTTTTGTGTACTTAAAACTCAAAATCAGAAAATTATTGTACAAAACTAATTTTATTAGTGCAATTTATTATTATTTCCTCATATTCAACATTCATGAATTTTCAAAAATATTTATAAATTCTTATAATTTCTCATTATAAATATAAACATGATTATACATATAAATTATTTTGATTGAAATTAAATTTCAGAGTACTTTCTAAGCAAAAGATAAACAAGAAAGCAAATGAAATTTTATTACTTTGAACTTTTATGACCAAAAAAACTTAATATCTGTAGACTTAAATTTATTGAAACTAAGATATAAACAGAAAACTATAATTTACAAAATTAAGAAATATATTTTTCAAAAAAAATTATTCTATATTTCTTGCTATAATTTTAGATCTTAAATTATTGTTAATAAGATTTTATACACATTCAAAACCCCTACATCAACATACTTCAAATTAACATATATTTTTACTACTGTTTTCATCTGTTTATAACAAACAATAATTGTAAATTTTTTCTTAAAGATTGAAAATATGTTCAAACATCTACATTTCAAAATAAACTTCAAAGAAAAATATCAGCATTTTCTAAGCATTACTTCAAATTTAAATAATAATTAAAAATATCTTAATACATCTATTTTTTAAATAATTTGTTCCAAAAATGTAAATAAATAAAATTACTACTACTAAATGTCATTTTTCTACAATTTAAAAAAACAGTTTATATTTATATAATTTTCAAAGCCTAAAACTTTACAATTTAGGTTTTGAAATCAGACTGCATTTTAACAAAAATTGTACTGGTTCATCAAAATAAAATTGAAAGAAATCCTAATAATATATATTTAATAAATATATTAATAACTNAAAATGCAATCCACGGTTCATCTTAATATTTTTTATATATAATTTCATGTTTCATAAAAAATTTATTGTGTTTCCAAAAAGTGTGTACATATGTGGATTTTTTTTTTATTTGAAAAGGCACTCAATACTTCACCAAATAAGAAAAGTGATCTCTTATGCATAGTTTTTCACACACACTCCAAAATATCATAAGTTAGACTATATAAAACAAACATTTTGCTTTCTAACAATCTTAAAAAGTGTTTTTATATGTCAATTTTTGTTTAACCAAAATGATTTCTGTCAGTGTTTGTCATCTTGTCTTCCAGTTTTATCATAATGCAAATACCTCAATGGCCCTAGGTTCCATAGATTGTTTAACCTGTGGGCCATTTAGAGCTTATATGAGGTCTGGAGTAAAGTGAGTCCCTTTAGCTTTTTTCTTTTTTTTCTTTTTTGAAAAATGAAAATATTTAGAATATTTCTTTGAGACTTCTTTTTATTAATAAAAGATTTATTTTCTCAGTAAAAATGTATTAATTTTATGGGACCAGGAATCAATGCAGATCCCTAAGATTTCTCTGTGCCTGGAGAAAAATCTCAACTCCACCCTCTCAACAGTCCTGGTGGGACTATTTAGCATCTTTGTCAAAGAAATTAATGAATGAACACCATTATCAAAATATTTATCAGCAGTATTCTTCCAGTAATAAGTCAAAAGTGATTATGTAAAATATAGTCAAGTAATCAGCATTTAGTTAACTAAAAACAAAGCACATCTTTAGTCAAATATCAAAACAAATTGTCATACAATGATTAAAGTTAAGAACCTAAAGAAGCTAATCAAAATTTTAAAAAATCAGAAACCAATTAAAGCATTTTGTGTAAAATCTCATAATTCATGAACCGATGAGGAATTAGTATTGTCATCTAGTATAGTTATCATAATGTTATGTAAAAATTTAAGTTAATAATATACAATTCACTTTAAAAAAATTAAAGAAACATATTGTTACAAAATTTTATTTATGAGGTCATTTACTCAATTATGAAAAACTTTACTTTCATTTTTCTCTCTCTCTCTACATTTTTAACATGCATAAACAAACTTGTATTATCTACAAATCAAAAAAATAGAACTAATGATTTGCTATTGTTTTTGTTTGTATAAGATAGTAGTAAAAAAAGAAAATAAGCATTTTTAATTTTATAAAAATTCCATTTCAAATGATAATTCTGAATCTGTTTAATATGAAAAGTTTGAACTGGTAAATTCATTTAAAATTTTGAATACTTTACAAATTGACAATTTGTTCTAATAAAATAAATTTAAAATTAATTATAAAATCTATAAACTGCACTATGTATAATACAATAATAGTAATGATTGATTAAAATGCCTTTAGCAATGTATTGAAATGTATTTTGATGGTCCAAGTGTGTCAAACTCATTTAAACAACGGGCCATTTAATGTGACTGGTAAGATTCACAAGGGTTACATCACATTCACAAATTTTCTTAAAATTATAATTTGAAGTGAGAATGCAGGAATATAGATAGGACAATTAAAACACTATGTAGTTCAGTGAATTCAACTCAACAATATATAATTACTATAGTATTGCTTTTATTTAAACATTTATTTTGTTTAATGTACAATTGTTTTTACCAGAAACTTGCCAGTGCTATTCCTCCTCCTGGTTTTCCAATATCTGGATTCAGCGGACAGATGGCCAAGCAGTAAAGGTAGCAGCCTACAGCTCTGGGGGACCCAGGTTCAAATTTCAATGGGTTAATAAATCCCCAAAAAATTTTGAGGGTTGCCCTTCCTGATATGTTGGGCCCCATCCCTCACCATCTGGCACCCCATTGTGGGCCTGGATGAACCCATAATGGGCTTGCTAATGGAGGCCCCCTTAGTGTCCACAGGGCAGAAAGTTATAAAAAAAATATCTGGATTCAAAGACTGAGAACAATCTTCATTATGACAGATAGATGTTTATCAGTTAATCTTAGTCTGTAAGCCGTTTTATTTAATTTCAGATCATCATGGCCGCAGGCCATGAAAAATCACATTGGAGGCCATCAGTTTGACACCCCTGGTCTAGCACAAAAAACTTGATGTTGTAAATTTGTTATTTTAAGTTAGTAAAAAGAAGAAAAAATAATAATAATTGTCGAAAAATAAATTTAAATGCTTTAATAATTCTGGTTTAGAACTGTTGGCTTTAATAGAGAGGTTGAGGCGCACGTTTTAAATGTGTAAACGTGTACGTGTGACGTTCGGCGCCGCTT